ACCTTCCTTAATTTTGGGCATCGGATATTTCGTCCCAGTGATGAGAGAAAAGTAACCAAGACACCTAGTCTATACCAGGCAATCAAATATGATGAATGTATCAATAAAATGCTTACAAATGGTAATATGGATAAAAAGCTCTTGTAAATAGCCAATTGTTTACTAATCTTTGGTGTTATAAAAGTATTAGATGCAGGTACTCCGGTTTCATTTCCCAGGGATGTGAAAGTCATGCACTCTTCAGCGGAAAGCATTCTTCCCAAGGCTCTGAAAATCACACACAGCAGTCTTGATAAACACATGTCTGAGTGCTGTTCCAAGTTCATGAATTCATACCTTTCTATGAGGATTTGAAACGCTCTTGTTTTGGGTTTGTTTCGTTGGTTGGTTTTGGCTTTTTGACATAGGGTCTCACTATGCAGTTCAGACTGACCTTGAACTCATTATGTAGCCCAGGCTGGCCTTGAACTCATGGTGATCCTCCTGACTCAGCCTCCCAGGTGGTAGGATTACAGGATTGTGCCACCATGCCAGGCTTGAAACACTCTTCTGATGTAGAGGGGTTTGGGTCTTGGTTTTCCTGTTTCTCTGGTTTCTCACCTCCTGACTTTGTTGGTTCTGTTTGGATCAAATTACCAGAAAGCCTAAAGAATGGATAGAGAGACAAGCAGCCAAGAAGCTGGACATTGAGGAAATGCTTCGCCATATGACTTTGATTAACAGATAGAAAACCACTTTGTGAAATAAGATGCCACCCAGTGTAGACACTACATGCACTTTGTCTGTATTGTTTTCTTTCTCCTCTCTGGAGTGTGTGCCGATTCCTAAGTTCCGTGGCCTCTAAGTGGTATATTGTTCCTCTCTGAAGTTTAATTCATTATGTATTTTAATGCCTGTGATAAGCAAAAGCTATTGAAATGTTCACTAAATCAAGTTTTGCTCCAAGACGCCCTACACTAAATACCGACTTTTCAATCAAATAGCCCAAAGCTCAGCACAGCACTATTTCATTTCTCTCTCCTTTCCTTACCATTACTGGCATCATCCCTCCATGAAATAAGGTCATTAGATGAAAAAGAAGATTGAGGCTAGATGTAGTGGCACACCCCTGTAATTCCAGCACCCGGGAGGCTGAGGCAGGAGGATCAAGAGTTCAAGGCCAGTCTGGGCTACATAGTGAGTTCAGGCCCAGCCTAAAGTACATAGTGAGACCTGTCTCAAAAAAATAAAACTGTTTTTAAAAGACTGTAACATTTACACATTGTAATTTTAAACATCAACTTTGAGAAAGAAAAAACACTTTAAAAATCTATTAAAGAATTTTTATTAAAAAATTTAGATGGTACAAATTAGTCTGATCACAGAAAAAATTGTAAGTATATCCTTCAACAACTAACTTTACAATAAACTTAACATTTAACAAAGACATATTATCAGTTGGGCTCCAAACTTGGGATAAAATGTCATAGACCTATCATAGACTCGGCTATGTTTTACAGACATACTTTTATGGAACATAAAACTAAATTGTTTATTAGGAACAAAACACTACATGGACCTTAATACCAACAACATTTAGAAACTATGAGAACTGCAATATAATTTTAATGATATAACTTTCAATCACACAGTCTAGAATTAATGTTGCTCAGCATAACTTGCTGTCATGTCTACTAAACACCACTGGCTTGAACTTTATGAACAAGTATACACTCAAATTAAATTAGATACTTAACACTTTTTCTCCTTGACATAATCTTGGGCTCAGGCCTTCATTATTTATGTAGTGTTGCCACTCCCAAAATATAAGGCACATTCACGTTCAAATATTCGGCACAAAAAGAATTCTAAACTCAAACAACAGTCTAGAGTTTCTTTGAGTGCTGTTTATACATCCCAATGTGAAATTAATATGTATTTACTGAAATATTTTCATGCATAGAAACATTACAAATTAATCACTTATTTATATCCTTTTCTTAATTAAAATAAAAGATTACCAAGGAAGAACTTGAAATTACTTGCACTAAATATTTTTTTTATTTTTAACAAGTATTATAAGTACCTAGAGGATGAACATATGAAGGTAAAGACCCACTGTGAAGCCAAATACCTTCCCTTAGTTAATGTATAAGAAAGTAAACACAAGAGCAAAGTCTTTAAAAAGTGCTACAATTTCTTAGCTCAATGGCTTACACCTGTAACCCAGCTAATGAGAAGGCTCAGGCAGGAGGATCACAAGTTCAAGGCCAAGTTAGCAAGGTCCTGTTGAAAAGTAAAAAGAGCTGAGGCTCTTGCTCAGCGCTCCATGGGATCAATTTCCAGTACCATAAAAACAAAACAAAGAAGCAAAAAGAAGACTGTATTATTTTGCACAAATATAAGATTTAAAGTATTATTCCCAGAAGGTAAGCAGGGATACGGAAAAGAATAAAACAAAACAATTAAAGCAATGTATTTAGGCATGTGTTTCTTGAAGAATGATATCATTAAAATACTTGTGTTTCAACATTATTGCTTGAATAATTCATAGTCTTCTGTATCACAGTGTGCCAATGTAGTAAAGCAAATTCCATGATTATGTAGTTAATGATTTTTAAGGTATCAATTTCCACGGTACAGTACCAGACGAGGCACTTTCGTTAATATATTTGTAAGTTGAACTCAGAATTTTAAATAGGGCTTATACTAGAATTTATTTTTTCAGATAAATTCCACAAATTAAATATTCTTATACCTTGAAGCCCGCATCTTCATTTTATGGCTTCTGATTATAAAACTGTACCTAGGTATTGATGTGCCTTGATTTCATTATGTTGGACAACAGTCATGTCAGTGCTGCAATACTAGCAAGACAGCTCAGCCTTCCCCTGAGTCATGTATCTGTTAAAGTAACTGCTTTTTGAAATCAGTCAGTGAAACAAAAGTCACTTGCTACAGCAGAATAAAGAACATAGTTCCTGGGCTCAGGAGGAAGCTCAGCGGTAGGGTGCCGGCCCAGCTATGCGAGGCCGCAGATTTGATCCCTAGCATTGAAAAATAAAAAACAAAAAAAACTGACCAACAACAAACCAGAATGCAAATCAAAAAACTTAAAAACATGTATATATGATTCTATATTTGAAAGAGATCCTTAAAAAAAAATGGACATCCTGAAATTACAATTTTCAGATTTTTAAAAACAAAAATAATCTACAACTTTTCAATAAGTTCAGGTGTTATTTTCTAAAAAAATGCCTCTTTCTTGATTTAACTTAGAGGAGAAACATGCTCTCATTTTTCTAAAAATGCTCCATTCAAGATTGTTTTTTCAGATTAAAAAAATCCAATAGATATAACTAAAATTAATTGCTAACATTCTCTAGAGGCTCACAGAGCCAATTTACCACAATATAACTTTGTTTAAATTTAGCACCATCTGTAAACATAAGAAACTGATAAGCTATTTATCAAAAATGGTTTATTCACTACAATCTGTGCTTTATTTATATAGTACCAAAGCTTAAGCCCAGGAAAATATTATTCGAAATGGTCCTATAACCATAATGAGAAAGTCGATCTTACATTTTCTTTTTAAGGCAGAGACGTTTCAAAGCTGGAGAAAGGCCTGAATTTGGTTAAATAATTGAAGTAAACATAAGAGAGGGTCACTAGTATATTTTTACAGAGACCTAATATGGGAGTGATGGTTCCCAAAGCAATGATTAAACTAAATCTAACAAAGACAAAGGGTAAATCCTGCAGCAGGATGCCCAAGGAATTGAGCAGAGGGTTTTGGGGAGTGAATATAATTCGAAGCACAGAAAGAAAACTGAATATGTAGACCGGGTACAGCCAGCCTGATTTGTACACGTTGGGGTGACCAGCCACACGCACCATTTCTATGGTGTCAGACCACCGCAGAAAGCTCCACAGGAATATCTCCGCCCGCGAGTCTCGCCGGGACATTGTCTTCAGGATTCCAGAGTCAAAGGAGGGCTCTTGAGGTCCCAGGACGACGTGGCTCAGTGGTTGTGACGTCCCAGGGGTCTTGGCTGCCTGGGAAAGCGCAGGATTTCCTTCATTCTGCCCCACTTGCTCGGTCACAGTTTTTATTTCCTGCAAAGTGGTCGTATGGATGTGCCTGTCTTTGTCACCTGCAATAAATTGATGTGTGTGCACTTTTAGTTTAAAAATAAAAATTTTAATTTACATTTTAACCAAATTGGAATTCAAGTGAAAAATAAAATTCTATGGGTTATCTCAGTGGAGGCCTATATCCCAGCAAAAGGTAACAAAGGACAGGGAGAAAATTCTCTTTCTCTTATATTTTCCTGGGTCTAGAGTTTAAGGAATTTTTAGCATTTTACAGTAAAAGCCATTTCTAGTCACTGAACTAAGCACGATCACACATTATCTCACTTAATCCTGGGAACAACACTGAAAGATACGGTTTACTGTGACATTTTACAAATATAGAAACTGAAGCTCTCAAGGTTGAATATGCCCAAATTCATAGTTAGAAATGGGCAGAGCTGGAATTCAACGCCAAGATTTGTTTGACTCCAAATGACAAATTCATAACTTTGCAGTTGTTACCAGCAAGATATCATGTGCTCATTCCAAAACATATGTGTGTCATAAAATCAAATGAATCTAAAATTTCGCCTGTCCAACCTTGTCATTTTGTAAGATGACACAGGTTCACAGAGATAAGTACTCCACAGATCTCTAGGCAGGGAGTTTGGTGCTAAGTGGGATTCTATTTGACCTCTAGAGAATCAGAGTAATGCATCATGTGCTGAATTCAAGACTTTTTTCCTCCATGACTGGGGTGGAACCCAGGGCCTCTGCACTGAGCTACTTCCCCAGAACATTTTATTTTTTATTTTGAGACAGCATCTTGCTAAGTCACTAATTTTCCCAGAGTGGGCTGAAACCTGTGATCCTCCTGCCTCAGCTTCTCAGAGTGCTGGGATTACAAGAGTGCACCCCCTTTTGGGGTTGAATTCAAGCTTGTTAAACTGTTCTTTCCCAAAGGTTTTTGAAGTGGTCCATAGGACTAACTAGTCTAGGGATCTCTCCTGTGGTCATGAAGCTATACCTGGTCAACACACCAGTCCTCTGAAAAAGGAAGGCATTAGACTTACCACCATTGTGTGTGTGTGTGTGTGTGTGTGTGTGTGTGTGTGTTCAGTCTTCATTGTATGTATAGGGGGTTGCCAAGGTTGGAAATTATGAAGGGACTCTCAAATCACAAGACCTACACTGCTGTGAATGGAGTTGTGACGGTTGTTGTAATGTTGTCCTACAAGGTGCTGGGGATTGAATCTAGGTTCTATGCCCACTGGGTAAGCACTGTACCACTGAGCTATGCACCCAGCCCAAAAGCATTGCCTTTATATATGAAAGGTATAGCATACTTCTGTAAACATTAATACACTTAAACATTTTTTTTGCTAAGAATTTGTCACCCCTGACAAAGTTGACTCTTCAAACATGCAAAGCTGCCATATTGCCTGATAAGAAAGAATTTTGTTTGTTTGTTTGTTTTTTCGGTTTTTCTCCGGTACCGGGAACCGAACTTACGACCTCGACCTTGCGCTTGCCAGGCAGGCGCTTTTGCCGCTGAGCTAAATCCTCAGCCCAAGAAAGAATTTAAAGAGTGTCATTACTTTGAATAGCTCTAAAGGTCAAAGTCAATAAAAATTTGTTGAACTGTACAGGACTGAAAATGAAAACATTTTAAAATAAATAAATTACAACTCATAAGTAATAAAATGTTTTGTTACTGTAAATAACAGTGTTTACTTAAAAGACACAATAAACTTCAGTAGTTTTTATTTACCCAATGAATTACTTAAAATTTTAAGATGAATTGAGTATTTTTATAAACTAGAAAATAATTTAAATTCTCAATGAAACAGTACAAATATGAGTCATTCAAAACTAAATCATCCATGACCCTTAAAACATTTTGTAAGAAATCACAGTGGTCTAAATAGTATTCACTTTAACAAACAATATTTGAGTAAAAGATAAAATCATGTGCTGTTCGAACAAAACTCCAACTCCCCTTTCCGACACTAGCCATGAACACAGTGTATGGTTGGGGTTTTTAAAAGATGATTGCAAATTCAGCATTCAGGAAGTGACCACTAAGAAAAGACACATTAACATTTCCTACCCGATCAGTGGGAGTCGTAACATCTGAGAATGAAACTTGCTGTTGTGAGCAATGAGTTCTCAGCTAGCGTTTGATTTTGGTGAGAAACCAAATCCCGGTCCGTGGGTATTTGGTGAAGTAGGGGGCGGGAGCTTCATGTCTCCAGGACTCAACAGGGACCAGGGTAGATTTGAGAGTAGATTCTGTGTGCTTTTCATGCAGTGAGTAGCCCTAGTCTAACCAGAAAGTGCCTCTGGCCTCCCAGAGGTCAAAGGAGAGATTAAAAAAGCCAAGAAATCTTTTGGTGATTGGATTGGACGAGCAAATATATCTCCATGTGACATAAACATTCATGCATTCAATACTAGACTATGTCCTTTGGCTCCATGATGAATTTTCTCTCCAAATTAGCACCTTTTCATTTTCTAATTATAGCTTGGATTCTTTCTGTTGTTATTTGTTCTATTTTGGTAAAATGATATGTGTGAGCACAAAAACTATAAAAGATACTGTTTATAGCTTAAACAGAGCGATGCCTTCACTTCCGGAGAGGCACACAGTACCCTCTACCAACAAGAAAGAGCCACCACTCTGTGCAGCTCCTACACGGGATGCCAGGTGCCGAAATAACTCTTCATCTTTCTTCACTGTGCAAACTAAATAATTCAGAAAAAATCTCCCATAACAGGCAAATGTGTAAGTAGATACAGTAACCCGTACCTATTTTGCTTTATTATGTGCTTCTACTGATTTGTTTCTACCTCCAACAGGTTCCTCCAGAAAGTTACCATTAAGCTCACAGGGAATAAATAGAACCCCACAGAACAGGTGTAGAAAGGCAGTTTCTAGGTCACCGTGCATTCCTCTTGCAAAGAGATCAAGAGGGCCATGCGTTACCTAAGTAAAAAGAAAGAGGAATCACAAGTAAAGGCGCCTAAAAACACACCACAATGAGGATGCTCTTAACCAAGTGTTCTCCCAAATACCTGTTAGGAGCAGGCCAATATGAAAGAGATGCACCACACCTAAAGTTAAAGTGGACATCAGCAGATAACGAACCAAGTAGTATGGAAGTGGTCCCCACTGTCCACAACTTCCTGACTCGCACCACTAAGTAAAGAATAATAAATGGCGACAGGGCTTTAAAAAGAAAGCAGTCACCCCACAGTATTGGGGCCTGGAGTCCCCCCTGGGACTCAGACGCGTGGATGCTCGCATCTCTTATAGAAAATTCTCCCCTGCAGCTCTTTCTGCCATCTTTCCGGGCTGCCACAGTGGCGCGCATGAATGTCCTGGCTGTTGATCCAAGAGCGTCGGCCATGCTGAAAAGAGAGGCAAACACCAGGCCCTTACTAGGCTGTGCTCCAAAGTCCTCGTCCGGTTTCTCACTGTGATGGTGAAGCACAGTTACACTGATGAGTTTGAAATCATCACGATCACAGGGCTGGAAAAATTGCTGCAAACCTCACAGGCTGGTTAAATAAATGTGGCACAACCAGCCTCAGGTTTGATGTGCAGCTGAAAGACCTGGAAAAATGACAGAATAATCTGCTCTCATCCCATCAGTTTGGTTTCATTATATTGATAACCTCGGTTGGCTGAGGTTCATAAAACATGGATAAAATACCTCATTGGAAACAAACCCCCCATGTAGTTTAAACCACCATGGACGACTTATAATCCCTGCTATAATGGAAATACTAATAGTGTGCTCTACTGTTTAGGGAATAACGAGGAGAAGAGTTGGGACATGTTCAGGACAGATGCAATTTTTTTTCAAACATTTTCAATCCACAGGTGGCTGAATCTGCAGAAACTGTGGATGTGGAGGGCCAATGGTAAATTCCGCGACAAAAATTATCAAAGGCAACCCAAGTTATTTAGGGGGCAAGAGAGGCTCGTCTGAGAAGTGACAGGTAAGCAGAGATGGAAAGAATAAGGGATCGACCAGGTGACAAATGGAAAAGAGAACTTGCCAGGTAGTAGGAATTGCATGTGTGAAGATCCTTCAGCTCTCACAAGTTGAGGGAGAGCCTGGAGAAAGGTTAGGAATACAGACAGAAGAGGAAGCAGAGAGGTATTCATTCTCACTAAGAGCTTTCTAGTTACTAGGTTCTGTTCTAGGCTTTTAATGTGCATTAACTCACTTATTAAAGTCCTGGGACGTAGACACTGCTGCCTGGCTGCTTTAATGAAAGCAAACAGAGGAGACATAAAGAATAGCTTCCAAGGTCAAACAGCCAGCAAGTAGAAAGAGCAGGACTTGAATCCCCAGCCTTTCCTCACTGTACCAGAGTGACCGTGACAGAGACGGATGAAATAAAGCCTTAGGGCTCAAGAGAGAAGAAATGGACTTTATTTTCAGTTCAATAGGAAGCACTTGCTGAGGTCAGAGCAAGGGAAAGGGGATTTAAGTGGTGACAAGTGCAGAGGCAGCACGTCTCAACAGCCAGATGACAAAGCATCATTCCAACGAAAGTGTGACTAGTCTTGATGAATATTCTCCGAATTACATTTTTCCCATGGGCAAAATGTTCTAAAGAAAACTAAAAATAATTCATGTGAACACTGAAAACAAAACTAGAGGAGAAAATGAGTAATTTTATTCTAAAAAATTTTAAAACACAACACACTCAAAGCACTTTTGGTCATAATTCTCTTGGAGAACTGGAAGGGGAAAGGCAGTCAGAATACAACCCAACATCAATGATAAACATTGCTATTTGGAAACTATACAGTCACTGAGGTAGGAAAAAGAAGTAGTATTTGCCAAGAAATAAATGATCAAATACAGGGTCTACCTAACAGGATGGTTATACTGAAGCAATAAGTCAATATCTACACAGCACTTAAAGTAGGGTCTGACATATAGAAAGTCATGTATGTGTTCAATAAAAAGTAGCAATAGCCAAACAATTTACTGCCTTAAATTGATGAAATTAGAATAGAGAAGAACAGAGTATATCATGAACAATAAGGGTGATTGAAGCT